GGTTTTTGTGCAGCTGCAGGAAGGAGTTAATTTCACCCCAGCCAGGCACCTGACAACGTGGAGGGAAAGGCCACTTGTGCTCGGAGCACTGTTCTAGCAAGTGAACTTTCTGGAGTAAGGATTGTACCTTAATTGCTGTGGGTTTTTGAGTGGCAGCCATAGGGGATGGGAGCTGACAGCAAATCGTTCAGGCAGAGGGACACAGGACAAACGGATGTCTAGCTGAGCTCTTGAAGGCTGTTGCTGAGTGGGGGGGAACAGAACATCTTCTTGACTTACTGGCATTTTAAGGAAAGAGTGGAAAAGCTGGGAGTGACAGAGCATCCTCTTAGAAGATGTATTTGTTTTGCTACAAATGTCAGCAGTGCCTCTCTAGAAATTGGATTCCAAGTTTAGTGAACTTCTGATTGCGTTTGCATGTTCTGCAACCAGAGAAGATGTGTCTACCTGCAATTTTCAGTCTCACTCATTGAACTAACAAGATGCGACCTCTGTTTCCTAGAGCTCAGGACACTTACATGACCATGACAGAGGTGCTATAAAACCACACCAGGTAAGAGGTGCATATAGGGCACTGGTTTGTTTGTTTTCAGTGTGGTCTCTTGAAAAGAATTGGGTAGTGTCCAGTGCTGATCTCACTCTTTTTGTGGGCTAAATTAATGTCTTTATTCTGCTTGGCAGTGTGGGCCAAGAAGAATTTTAAAATGAATGCAAGAATTTGTGGTGTGCAAGATGTCTGAAAGTACCCTCAATTGGTTTTGTGTTTCATCAGTGTGGTGTTACAAATGGGCCTGTGTAACGCAGAGGAGTGTCTGCGAGTCCTTACTGGTTGACAATGTGAATGGTGTCGCAGGAGGGGCTGTGCTGGCGCTCTTTTAAGTGGAGGAAGATCCATCTTGCGCTGTTGTTGGAAGTAATTATGAATCTGTTTTCATTTGAAGAAAGAAAAGCCCAGTTAATGTCATTTCATGTTTAAAATGTGAAGCTGAGGCATAAATTAGTGTCCTGCTGCTACTGATCCATGGAGGAGTCATGAGCTTTGAAACAGAAACAGACCCAATTTCTGAATGTCAGTGGCTGTACAAAAAAAGTACATCACATTGGAAGACGAGTTTTAAGCTTGTCTGTTTTTGTGATACTATACTCTTAAAAGAAACACTGAAAAAACTCTTCTATCCTTTTCAATGTAGAAAGGGGAAAAATCCTGTCTTCTACTCTGGGCATGTCCAGCCTCAGGTTTCCTGCTCTAACAGGAGGAATTTTTTCTGGGAAGAAATAAACTGTGTATTGGGAACTCTCACCCATTCACTGAGAACATGTCTTTTTTTCCTCAAGACCAGGCTGGGCAGAACCTCTTGCTATGACAAGAATTAGGACGCCAACCTCACGTGCTGGGCTCTGCCCTCTGCTTTTGTTCTGTTGCTTCTTCACAGGCTTCAGGTCCGGTCTTTTGACTCTGAACTCTTCTGTACCTGTCAGTTGGGAGTGATGATGGCTTACTCAGTGGTGAGGTTTGCAGGAGAAATTGGTGACGGTGAAGTCATCGAGGGGCTGGTGACAGTGCAGCTCCACATCTGTCATGGCTTGTGGGTACAGGGTGGTGACCTGCTGGTGGGGGGGTTGCCCACAACTGTGGTGGCCCAGCGTTGTAGGAAGCTCAAAGCAAGCAGAGCAGAAACAACGGCTCAGGTAAACACTTGCAGATGGTTGTGGGGCAGCAGAAGAGCTGCTGGCTCTGAGGCATCTTGCTGGGCTTCCCAGAGAACTTCTTAGCCGGGGTGGGCAAGAAGGCTGAGACCTGAGTGTTTTCCAGAAGAGAATGTTGCAGGGCCTTGTGTCAGGGAGGTGGGAGTTGATGGGAGCTGCTCAGAGAAGGCAGATTCACTCATCTGACCCTCAAGGGTGTCTTGAAAAGCGTGGACTGCCTTGGATGTAGGCAAGGGAGCAAACTCTTTGCCTAAGCTCCTCTTCTCCAGATGCTTTTTATTGCTACTGTATGGAATTAAATAGATGGGAATTAAGCGGATTCTTGTGTGCATTCCCGAGTCATTGCAGATTCCTAAAGGACGGTTTTAGTCTCTGTGGTGGGTAAGTAGGGCTGACCCTCTGAGTCCTGCAACTGAAGGCCCCACCTGAGCACCAGAGGAACGGGACTGTGTGCCAGGAGAGGTAAAAGCACAAAGTCTGGCACTGGAGGAGCTTGCTTCAGGGGGAGGAGGCAGGAAGGATGTAAGTGTGTATTTAGGCCCGCTTCAAGGAAAGCTGCAAAGAGGCATTGGCGTTTATATATAGGAGTTAACAGGTAGCTTTTTTTTTTCCTAGTTAAAAAAGACCAGGTTCAGCCTGAGTAAAAATTGACCTTTCCTCACAGTTATTCAATTTCAGTCCTCTTTGTCGCGTCGCTGGCTGTGCAGCTGCCGTGGCCTCCTGCAACAGGCAAACTTGAGCACTAGGTGTAGGGAAACCATAGGAAACACACACTTCCACCCTTTCTCTTTTTTGTGAGGCAGCTTTTTTTATATCCATTGTGAATGCGTCCAAAAGTAGCAAAGAGCTTGGAAGGCCACTCTGCGTTTCTTCTTCCTTTTGCAGGTCAGCTTCAGCTTCTCCCCATGTTCCCCTCCTAAAAGTCAACAGATGGAAATTATTGGAATGGAGAGAAAAGGGGGCCTTTGGGTTTTTTGTTTCAGAGCTTGGTAGATGAGAGCTTTGCCTCTTGCACAGTGCTGTGAGGCCATGTGGAGAACCTGCCTGTGGAGGAGAACTTCAACACCAGAGGAGGCTTCTGCCTGGGTCCCCGTGCTGCTCTGTTTAATGAGGCGTGCTGGCTTTTGGCAGGTTTCTGACTGGCTGCCACTCCACGCCACTGTCTCTCATTAGGTAGGACATTTTTAGGCACTGGATTGAATTTACTTCCATCCCATGCAGACCTGGTGGTGGTCTGCTTTTTACACACTCCAATTTACAGAGCTAGGGCCAAGCTACTAAATTATTAAGCTGGGGTTTTAATAGAAACCCCTGTGTAGGCTTAAATTGTTTCCACTCTATTTGGAGTTTCCTGCTCTGCTGGTTTTTATTTTGTCCCGTGCATGAAAGCGTGGAGGGAGGAATTCACAGGAAAGCACAGAGGCAAAGCGGAAGAATTCAGCCTGAGAGCACTAGAGAGTACAGACGAAATAAAAGGTTAATTGGTACTGTATCCAGCTCTGATGGAGGTGATAGGGGGAAAAAAATGCTTCCTAATCCCCATGGCAGTTCAGCGGAAACTTGTGTGTTCGTTTTCAATGCTGTTTGTAAGTTAGGTTTCTCAATAAAACATTTTCTTGCCCAACTATTTTTGACTTGACCTCTTCCCCAGGGCTTGAAAGGGGTGTTTGTCAGCAAACACAGCTCCCCCAGTTTTTCCCCCAAACCCTGCTGCCGCCAGCGGGACGGCAGTGCTCTGTCTGGTGGGACGGGACTTCCCTCCTTGGTGGGGGATGCCCCTTCCAGCTTTGCACCGTTCCCACCCAGTCCTACCCTTGCTGCAGGCTCTCCCCTACAGCCCCACACCGCGTACTGGGTCAGGATTGCACTTACCGATTAAGTACTATGCAAGTCAGATCTGGTCAGCATGGCTTGTATTTTAGCACTGCACCAATAAATTTGTGTTGTTCCTGATGACAGGTTGTCCTGGTTTCAGGACACAGGTACGGTCGCTGTCCTCCACCAAATGGGTTGACTGTCATGCAGTTAAAGTGAGGGATGTTGTTTGAACCTGTGCTTCCTGGTAGACCAGGAGTTCTCAGCACTGATTCCCTGAGGCCGCTTCATCACGAGCAGCGACCTCCTTCCTCTGCAGGTAATTAGATGGGAGAGGTTTGGAAAAACGGTGATAAGAGGTGGCAGTGAGCTAAAACTGGTCGGTGTGTGTCCACTCCTGCCCTTCACTCGTCAGCCACTCTGGGCATGCACCGAGTCCCAAGCGAGGGGACGAGGACAGAGCATGGCTGCAGGATGCGTGCCCACTGCTCAGACATACTGGTTTGAAGACCCAGCCCACTGGAATGACTGGGGTTGTTGAGCACAGCTACGGCAAGCCAAAGCAACCGAGCTTCAGGTGTGTGCTTGAGAGCTTGGAGCAGATCTGTTACCAAGCTCTCTGAATATATGGTACATCTTACAACATGTAAAACAGCTTAAACCGTCCGACTCTGCTCATTTGAGTACAGTACTAGCAGCTATCAGCTGAATCCCGCCTGGAGTTTGCAGGTCTGGCTGAAGAGAAAGTTGGGCTGTGAATTATAAAGGCTACCTTCGTCACTCAGTGGCAGGAATAGCACTGCAGTTCCTGTCATTGTCATCATGCTCGAGCCATGTTTGGGTACTTACCGTGTTTAATTGCATGGCTGATTTACTTAATGTCTCTCCTGGGGTCACTCATAACACTTTTATTTTTAGGATTCGGGGATATTAGGGACACTAGCAATCCACTGTGGCTCTCTCTCAAAGCGGGGGTTTTCCAGGCGCCAATGGTAATAACAGCAGTGGCTTCATCACAGAGCAACCTGGCTAAGGCGATGAAATTAGCACTGGCAAGTATGGTAGAGCTTAATGCTTGCAAATGAACAGTCTCCACTGAAAATACACTACAGGTGTAGGCAGAGGCCATGAGTTCCCTGGATTGGGGTAACTTGGAGGATGTGCATATGGTTTATTGGGAAATTCTGGCAGTGCCTGTTGTTTTTCAACCCTGTAAATAAAGAATTTTCTGATCAAATACTCAGTGTTTGGGTGTAGAACTGAGGTGGTCATATGTCCTCCCTGGTATACAGCTATGAATTATCCCATTTCATGACAAACTGGTTATGTACCTACAGAGGAGCTCCTTTGTTCCTGGCTGGTATACTAGTGGGGCATCTAAGGTGCTTCTCGATTGCTTTTAGGAAAGACAGTGTGCTGAAAGGCCTGCGGTAACAGTTGGCCTAACGTGCCTCGCTCTGCTTGTTGTTTTTAAACAGATGGACCTCTCTGTGGAAACTCTTTATAGCTTCATGCAGGAGCGTCAGAAGAAGTATGCCAAGTATGCGGAGCAGATCCAGAAGGTCAACGAGATGTCTGCCATCCTCCGGCGTATACAGATGGGCATCGACCAGACGATCCCACTGATGGAGCGGCTGAACAGCATGCTGCCAGAGAGCGAGAGGCTGGAGCCCTTTAGCATGAAACCCGACCGGGAGCTAAAGTCTTAGCTGATCTGGCAGGCTCCCCCTCCTCACCTTCCACGCTCCAGCGTTCAGCGCAGACGCGCTTCCAACGGGCTGGACTGGCAGATGTTTGAAGCGGACGGCAGTGCTGCCTGACTCTCTGCCAGGGCATCAGAGGAAGAGCAGCGTCAGCTGCCAGAACTGCGCAGCCAGGAATCCAGGAGCTCCCCAGTCCCGTCATCTGGAGAAGATGATTTACCGTTCTTTCATCTCCCTCCTCGTGCCCTCCTGTCTCCTTTACCGCTACTACCACCTGTGCTGAGACATTTGTTTCATTGCTGTGACTTAGATTGGGGTTTACAGAGGAGGACCTGTCTTTCATCTGATTTCTGTTTTTTTACTAGGAAAATTCAAAGGGATACGGGGTGTGACAAACCCTCTAACATGGTTTTTGTGCCACTGGGGTTTAGACAATTAGATGGCTGGCAGGTATTTCTGAGATGTCCTGGCCTTGGAAATGTGTGTATTTTATAGGTGAAAGTGTGGGAGCCAGGAACTGGCTTATTAAAATCTGCCTATTATCATAATTAACATGGTTTGCATGGCAGGGTTTTGGCATGTCCTCCTCGAGGCTTCTGTTTTTATGGGCTCGCTAATTTATGAGGCTGTAAAGGAATAACTGTTCCAGATACGTATGTCTGTTAATGTTAAGCAAGCCTTAGCGTTCCTCTCCCCCTTGCCCTGGCAGTGTCCCTGTGCCCCAGCTGGTGGCATTTCGTGTCCTTCACCTTGCACAGTGATTCTGACAGGTGCTGGCACCGACCTGCTCACTTTGCCTCCCAAAGTTGGACGTGAGGTGTCTTTTTTTATTTTTACTGGGACACTCCAGTTATCTCGGTGCTGTCTTTTCTACCAGAGGGTTGCAGTTGTTTCTTTACCTTCAAGTGCATGGGCTTGGAGGGGGGAGACACGAGAAGTCCTTTGGGTCTTTGCGTTGGCTTAGCTGCCGTCATGCCAAGAGTTTGCCTGAGCACGGTGTTTAATGACTGAACCCACGTGGCCCTTTGGGACCGTGCTCAGCAAACTGCTCCAAAGGCAACAGGATGTTCTTGCCTTCTCCCAAGCCGAGGGCCCTGCTGGAAGGCAGACGGTGTGTCCGTGCCACCCGGGTGATGGGCTGGCCTGTAGGAGACGGGTTTGGTTGCCAAGTCTGTCACTGGTCGTCTGGCTGCAGGCAGTTTGCAGCACCTCTCCGAGCTTTGGTTTCTCCCTGTATAAAACGGGGATATTTTACATGCTGCTGTAAAAATATTTACGGATCTAGAAATAGGGTTTAACAGCTGGTGTTGCCATTGCGTGGCAGTTCTTGTCTGCAGCAGAAAGAGCATGAAACCAGAAGTGAGGAGCCCTTGGTTTGCTGGGTCAGGTGTAGGTTTGTGTGTGTTACATTAGCCCCAGGATGCTGTTGCTGGCAAGGAGGCTGAAGCATGTCCAGGAGCCCCAAGGGTTGTTGTATGTCAGGACCGCGATTCCGGTGGTGAGGACAGTCCTCTTTGAGAAAGTCAGTGACAGCCCATCTTCCAGTAGAGCACAAGGCTAAGTGACTTGCCAAAGGCAGCTTGCTTCGATGCCTCTTAGTACGTAAGAGTACTTAATCAGCAAAAGATGGTCTCTGACCATTTGGGAATAAAAGCGCGGTAGGTTTTTGATGGTACTAATTACTGCCTGGTGGCAGGAAGCAATTGGCCATGCTCTTGTTGCATTCCCAAAGGCCATGTAGCCTAGAGTCGTTTTTTGTGATGCAGACTGCAGCCAACTTAGATGTGTAGCTGAACCATAGCGGTGACTGGACCCCAGGGCCTGCTGAACACTGTCTGAAAGCAGAATCCCATAGAAATGATGCCCTGGGAAGAGTGACTGACTGCTTCAGAGAGGGCAAGGAACTCAGCAGATTTTCTAGTAAAGGCAGCAGTGGGCCTCTTTGTCTGCTGTTTCCACCCCAGTTGTTGTTACGTGGTTGTGTATATGTAGGTGTACGCTGTATGTTGCACAGGATATAACATCAGGCTTCCATCCTTGCTCATGAGTCCTGCAGTATTTTACACTTGGTTTGTTAAAAGCTTACATGAGACTTAACAACCCATGAAAACCTGCTTGTCATGGCCATGCCCATGAGTGTCCTCATTGTCCATCACAGAATATGCCTCTGCCTCCCACCATCAGACACACCAGAATATTCAGCAGCTTTAAATAGCGCCTGCAGGCGTTTTTGTCCTCCTTGTCCAGATGATGCTGTCTGGAAGTTTAGAATGTGCGACATTCAGCCGTCTGCCAGACGGGATCATGAATATCCCACACCCTGGCATGCTGGAAGCCTATACTGGTGGGAAGATCCTGATATTGGATCTCGAGGCAGGGGCTAGGCTGCAGATGCTCTCTCCTGTAAAGCTTCTAGACATCTGGCCTCACGCTATTAAGTATCGGATCAAAGCATTGCTTCTTGCAGGGCTAATGAGGGCAAGCGAATAGTATTCCTATCTGAAAGCTGCAGGAGCGAGGGCTGCAAATCAGTTCCTTCTTTATTTGCTATAAAACACCTAGACATTGGCGGATAATGGGAGAAAAATGCTTGTTCCTATGAACGCTGGCCTTTAAGCTTGTGGCTATGCTGCTGGGCCTCCCAGCTAGAGCTTTCTGAGCAGCAAGGGTAAATTGTGAAAAACATTAATAGCTTAATGAGAAAGAAATCAGAGCTGAAACGTGAAGGCTGACCTCTTCCAAAGCACACGGATCATCACCTTCATTCCACAGGTGATAAAGTGTTGTATGGGTACCGTAAGATAGTGTGCACCCTCTAACTGTTCTCAAATGATGGTTTACAGTTTTATTTAAAACATTGTCACTGGCTTCGTTAACTATAAGTCTTTGGACCTCTCACCGAGGGGAGGATGTTTCCTGCCGCATCTTCTTGAGCTGCTGTTTGTTGCTTGGCTGCTCCTCATTTGCCTTGCTCTGTGTGCTGCTGTCAGCTCCATCTCGGATGCAGGTGATGCTCAAGGTGAGACACTTGCTTTGCTCCCTTTCCTGCTGTCTAGCAGGAGATTTGAGATGTGACTGGAATTACCTTTCTGCTTCTGAATTTCCTTTTCCAAGCCAAATGCTGTTGGAGAAGGCCTCAGGTATCTCTCACGAATGTACTAGCCGTTCCTTCCACCACAAAGTTAGTGCTATGAACAGAGAATAATCTGGTGTGCTCCACTGAAAACAAACATTTCTGCCCTTTTCTGCTTACTGAGGTGGTGTGTGGTGTGTGGTACAGGCTAAGCTGCTTGATACACAGTCTTCTGAAAAGCCGGAGAACAGGGTGAGTCTCTGGGTCTGTGGTTGCCCGCTGGCCTGAGCTGCTCTGGTTCTTCCCCCGATTCTGCTGTTGCGACCCTCTCCTTTGTGCTGCCGCTGGTGCTTGTTGCATCCTACGCTGGTCAGTGTGCTACACGCGCAGAAGAGGTTCGCTTTGTTGTTTCTGTTGTTTTTGCAATCTAATGCATTGACAGGGTGCTCAAGTGCCAACCTATCTGCAGGGCAATTTCTGTGAAGATCTGGTGAAGGGGACAGAAAAGAGTTTTTGGTTTTTTTAAAAAATATATGTATTTTAAATTAAATATATTTAAATATATTTAAATATTTAAAGTGTATTTTCCCCTCCTCTAAGCTTTTACACAGAAAGAGTAAAAATAGGTGTTTTCACAGGCCCAACTGTTGCATGAGCCAGCCCCTCTCTCTCAGACTGCGTGCCAGTGGTTTCCCGAGTTACTATTGTAATGTCTCTCCTGTACCCGAGCTGCCAGAGCGTATTTGGATTACCAGTCTCGTGGCTGAGCGCTCCTTGGTTTATGGGTGGTTATCCTGCTCGCAGACTTGCTCTGCTTTCAGCTCCCTACATGCTATGTGTTCCACAGCTCCATCATTAAAACGTTTGGTATCGCTCTTTTCCAAGTGTGTAGTTTCTCCGGTTGCCTTGCTTATTCTTCATTTACAGCGCACCACTTCTTGCTGTGATGACTATGGACAATACAGACGCTTTAGCGTGGGAGGTCGTATCTTAGCTTTACTGCTTTGTACGTGGAGCCCAGCTTCATGCCACGGAGATGGCTGGTTTCAGCTGCTTTGGGGTTGACTCTGGGCTGGAACTGTAAGGAAATGTGTGTCCCGGAATGAAAATAAATGTTGGGTTTTTTTGGATGCTGTCCCAATTCTGGTTGGCACTGCTGTCCAGTTTAAATAAATGATGTGCACAGCAATGCTTGTGGCTCACCAGGAGTGGGGTGGGACTGTAGTTCAGCTGGCTGCCTATCTTTTCTGTGCTGGTAGCCTCTTGGAGGTAAAGCAGAGGGTCTGGGATTAGATGGGCTCAGATACTTGTCTAAGACTGCAGCTTCCCTACACAAAGCACTTGTGGTGAGACACTCTCTGCCTGTTTTGTTAGGGCACATGCACCCAACGGCTTTCCTAAGATTCACTGGGAAGACTAAACATGAGCAGCAAAGCATTTCTCGTTTTCTTTTTTTTTTTTTTTTTTTTTGCCCCCTGCCCCCCACTTACCTCCCTGCCAAAAAGAGACCATGTCCTGACAGACGCTTTACATCCATTCTTTGCCAGATTGCAGAAGGAACTAGAGCTGGGGATCCTTGGGCAGGCTGGCTTTCAGGGTGGCCTCTGCCCTGTTGGCTGCTCATCTCCTACAGATTCCTCAGGCATCACGGAATGGGTCGGTTTGCACTTTTAGCCAAAGTTCAGCCTCTTTTCAGCTGGTCTGTGGTACTTCTCTGAGGGTTGTTGGTTTGTTTTCAGCTGCCACAGTTAGGTTTTAATTTCTTCGTAACGTGAGCCTGAACGGGACAGCCTGATGCACAGCAAGGCGACACAGAAAGGAGAGTAACAACTCACCCCGTGGTCCCGAAAGCCAGGGTAGGTCTGGGTGTGCTCAGCAAACCTACAGCATTACGCACCTCCTCAGGTGTGGGGGAGGAGAGGAGCATTCAAAGGGCAATTCTTAATGTCAGCTGCCTAAAATACCTAAAATAACCCTTTTTGTGTTTCTAAAACCTTTTTATTTTAACAGATGGAGAGTGAGCACTGACCTCATAGGGGAGCTGTGACAGTAATATGATGGCCTACTGTAGGACAGTAACGCAACCAGAAATAAATGAGGATGGCTGTAGATTTTGTCAAAACCTGACTCCTAGTTGGGTATGTGAACGGCTACTTTATACAGAGATTTGAGAGAACTTCCCAGTGTAGCTTACAACTAGCACAAGGGCATCCCAGCCCCAGTGCTGGGGAGCTAATTGTGGACAGGCATTAACAGCCCTGTAATCTGCAAAGCACCTGATGACCACTGTGCGCACGGAGGTGGCAGGAGCCTCTGAACTTGGTGATCTTAGGGAAGCCCAGCTTTGAAAACATCCTGACGTGGAGCTGTTTCCAGCAGAAACAGGTTAGTCTAATAAACTTAGAAAATCAGTGGTAGAGAGGCGAGTAAGTGGATGTACCTGCAGCAGAACGCTGTTCTCCTGGCATTGGGGAAGCAAAGCGGTGATGGACTCTCACCTACTGCACAGAAGTGCTGAACAAAGATGTAAATGTACAGGGTTTTTTTGGCTGGCTTGGTTGGTTGGGTTTTTTTTAAGTGATTTGATGCCCCAGCCTTATCACTGCCTGTATTGGCGCTTGCTGAGGGTCCCTGTAAAGAGCAGCTGAAATCCTTCCAGCAGGGCAGTTCCCCAAGTCTGTTTTACAGCATTTTGTGCTAGGAAAGCAGCCCCTTCCCAGAGGGGTGGGTATTGCAGGCTAGAAAAAGCTCCCTTTCCTTTTCTATTTATAGTGGCTGTCATTAATATTCTCAAAGTGCAGAACAGCCGAAAGCTCCACTGCAGAAACACTTCAGTTTGCTTCAGAGCAACTATGTGGGCCCAAGGGCCAACAAGTTCTCTAGGCATGGTTCAAAGGGAAAGGCCAGTTGCCAGGCTAAGCCGGTACATTACAAACCCTGTTCTTCTACCCAAATTCCCAGTTGTGTTTTTGTGTGTATAACGTAATAGTGGTATTGTGTTATAACGCTATAATGTCTAGAAGTACTAGAATTACTCTACTTTTATCTTGGAAACTTTAAGAACAAATAACAGGCTAGCTAGTTTGGTCCCTGTTTAGTCAGGGTGTGGCTAATTAAAATGTCTAGGTAGGTGAGTTTGGCTGAATCTCAGTAATTTCAGATTTAACAAGCAGCAGTAACAGCCTTATTAGGACTCCAGTGCTGTCCCCAGGAGAAGCACCATGCCACTGTTCTGGGCTTTTGATACTACCACTTTCTAGTAGAAATCAATTTATAACTTGTGCTGTGAGTCAAAGCGTAACGAGCAGCTAGCCGATGAACACATAGTACACGTAGCAGCTCATGTAATTACCACATTTTAATTCTCTTCCTTACCGATCCCCCCAGTCCCCTTGAAAGTAGGGCTGCCTGATCATGCTGGGGGCAGGTTTGCCCTGTTTTCCTGTTCATGTCACTCTAGGAATGTAACTGTGATGGTTACCTCAAGAGCCTAGTGACCTCGGGGACCTCTTCCCAGTAATGCCAGTCAATGAAATGAAAATGAAATGTTGATGACATGCATTAGACGCATTTCAGTTGCCTCTTGGGTTTTGACTGGAGGTGGAGTTAGACTGTCTCGTCACAGAGCTGTCTGCTGGCAGGGGCAAGAGTGGAGGGATGGAGGAACAAGAGCAAAGTCCTGCCAAGCAGGTAAAAGGACGAGTGGTGAAAGCTAAAGTGTGTGCTTCAAAAAACAACGTGAGGGAACAAACAGAGCTAGTCTGACCTACTGGGAGCAGAAGTGGACTTTGGAGTAGGGTGAGGGAAGCTAGAACAGGTAGATCTTGGAAGATTGTCAAGTCCACTTGTTTTGTAGGCTAGCGAGCTGATGCCATTTAGGTTCTAGTATTGTGCATGGTTCTTGTTGTACCATGCAATGGATACAAGCTTTCTATGTAAGAGCTGGTATGTCTTGTTTGTAGAAAGTAAGCACAGAAGCTCATGCAGGTTGTTACTTGTGCTCTGGCTCATAGTACGGCCTCTTCTAGAGAGGCCAAAGATTCTGCATTTCCCTTGCTGGGATGATGCTTTGAAATTCTGTTTTAAAAAAAAAAAAAAAGCTTCTGTTACTGCACCTGAGTTTGAAGATGCCATTACAGAAACTTGTAGGCTTTGCCATCTAAGGAGATAACCAAAGCAGCCATATTCTACTGCAGGATTTAATTTCAATATATGTTACGTTTGTATAACCTATTCTCTGAAGGAGCAATGAGGGGCATACTCCTCCCTCCCTCAGCAATTAGAAGTTGCTCTGAATGCTTCAGGACTGGCAGAATCAGTGAAAACAAGTATTTAAACAAGTAATTAAATTCTTCTTCAAATAAGAAATAGGGGAGGCAAGAAAAAAGCATGGGGTTCATTCTAGGTAACAATCAATTTGAAATACTTGCTTCAGAAAGGCTAGCACAGCTGCCTTGGGAAAGGTTTACCCACAACAGTATCAGATGTCGTAAGGTGTTAACACAGAGAATTCCCACTGTTGCTGTTGAAGGGAGCAGAAGTGGGGTGAAGAGGTAAGAGGCCTAAACTGTTAGCGGTGCTGTAAAATCACCGCTGCTTGCGGCAAGCGATCCAAAGCTACCCCATCTGTGTCATTCATTAACAGGCACGCATCCGCAGAGAAGGACACGTACGATAAGGACGAGCCCCCTGCTAGTCCTGGGTGCTGGGGAGCAGGTCATACTGCAGGCGGGTAATGCACGCTCCGTGGCCAGAGGCACGCAGGCTCCTTCCTCAGCCGTTCTATATAAACAGGTACCATTTCTGATTTTATTTCATCATAACATACAGGTAATGCTCATGACACAACAAGATGAGAAACTCACATCTCTCCGAACCATTTAAACAGCTTGCCATACACCAAAGAACATTATATTCATATTGAACATGTACACATTTCCCCCCTCACATCCTCCACTTCGCTTTCCAAACTTCTACAAACCATTTCCAGCATTGTTCAGGTACAGGACGCTAGTTCAGATAGGAGACAGGGCAGCACCCTGTGCAGGACATGGGGTTAAGGCTTCCTCGTACAGGAACCCGTCCCCTAAAAATACTGAGCCTACAGCTTTGATTCATTCAGAGACTATAGTGTACTGGAAATCATGAGGAGCCAGAAGGCCTGATTTCAGTTCCTCAGAAGGCGATTAATCAAACAAAACCCAAACAAACACATTTGTACGTATAGAGAGAAGGGGTGAACACATGTGTGTGAAGGAGCACAAAAGACAGGAAGATTCTTCTGGCTCTAGGGACTGATTTGTGTTAACCCCCATTAACTGATTTAAATCAAAGGCATGGGCTTTTACTGAAATCTGGCTGAGAGGAGCACTGCTAAACCATTTACATAGCATGTATACACACTCAGTGTGTGTATATACCTGAAAATAGCTGTAATGTAATTGCTTTCACTTGATCAGTAAACAGAGACAAGTGGCAGTATGTTTAATGAATAGCCAAGACCTGACATGCTTTCCAG